TATTAATGTCAAGTTCACCTTTATATACTTTTACATTCTAATTTCTTAGCCCTTTTGAAAATCAGGAAGACATTGCCTGCCTCATCAGTCTTCCAGAAATATTTCTGTTGATGAAGTTTCCTTAAAAATGAAGTCTCTGATCTGTGAGCTCCCTCAGTACCCTTGAATATGATATATACAGGTCAGAAGACCTGAGCTGTTCTGGGGCAGCAAAGTACATCTTACTGCCTCCTTCTGTACTTGGAGCTTCAAGTTCCCTTTCCAATAGTGCTCTTCAAGTTTCCACCCTGATCATAATTCTCTTTAATAAGGGAAACCAAAGGAGTATGTGGCAGAGAGTGTCAGTCGCTGGGCAAAATTCATGCTCTGCTCTACTTCCCAGGCACACAGCTGGGGGACATCTCCAGACTCCCCTGCAGCCAGATGTGGCCATATCATTGAGGTCCAGCCAGCAAAGCATGGTCAGTAGTAATGTGTGCCTCTGTCGGCCTGGCCATTAAGACCCCTGCATGAAATGGAGATCACACCCAGGGAGACCTTGGAAGTCACATGATGAAGAGGCCAGAGCTTTTGTCAGGCAGCGTGGAGGAGGAGTACCCTGATGACCCACTCACCCTCGACAGTTGTGTTTGACTGTGGACCTGTTTTCTCTTTGGCCACTCTGGGCTCATTTGCAGTTATAACTTCATTGCTTCTGCTTGAGCTGTCCTTCCTTTATCTCAGATCATGAGATCAAGCATGCCTAATTTTTCTCCAAATACCTGGGTCTTTCCTTCTGAACTCCTGGTTCAGAGTCAAGCTGCCCCAGGCTCCTGGATGACAGGGAGCTTTCTCTCACTCTCATCTTACAGTTTCCCCTACCCGTGCAGAATTAGATCCAAAATGGTGCTTCTCTTCATGATTTTCTCTGCTTTCTGAGAAACGGAATTTTCATTTGGGTAAGAATTTGATAGAAATGGTATTTGAAATTTTAATAGAATGGAGAAAAAAAACATTCATAGCCACAGTTGTCTGGTATGTAATGAAGGTAGATCTTGCTGAATGGAACATCCTTCTCTGCTACTTGGTAGGTTTAAATGGCTGAGTTCGGTAGCAGGAATGGTAGAGAAATAAATGACTCTACAGAATAAAGGCGGAAGGATTTGGAGTTCTGGAAGCAATACCAAAGGGAAGGAGTAAGGAGGAGAGAAGGGAGAATGAGGAGAGCAGGCTGGACCACTCCATAAGAGGAACCAGCCTAAAATCCTCATGGGACCGGATGGCTCAAGAGCTTTTGAGAACAGTGGTGTCTAATATTTCATTCAAAGTTGTTGCATAGATCTCCACTCCTTTGAGGGGTTGGTACTAGGCTGGACAGGCGTTGGGGTTCACTTGGGTGGCTGGCAAAATATTAGGGAAAGTTAGAAGATTATAGTCTCAAACCTTTTGGAAGGCCAAAAGTTCTGATGGAACAGGCTGACGGCAGCCAGTGTTAGAATTTTAAGTCATAGGGTAAAAGAACAATAAAGTTTCCCCAGCTAAGTCTGTTTACCCCACATTCCTTTGTCTCTACTCTATTGTGTTTGCTGATGTAAACTTTGTGCTGATGGCCCTCTCAGGGAGATGTCAAAGGGGAATTGCCTGTTAACAGTGTTTACTCTGGGCCCTGGAACCAAAAGCTTTTATCATTAGTAAAACCACTCTTTCAACCATGTTAATTATCCACAAGCATGTTAGTTAAAAACCTCTGTTAAAAAATTTATACTGAATAAATGTGAGGATGGAGAGGGAGTCTTGGTCAATTGGCTGCCATTGCCCTCTGTAAGCAGCTGACGACCGTCCCTAACCCACCTGAATCACTGAATCAGGTGTGAGAGTGCATTTATTCATCCGTCTTTGAGTGAGGGTCTGCAGGACAGACCTCCACAGGTGGTGTCAATGTCTCAGGTGGTGACCCCCATGTGAACAAGGTCACAGGTGGTACCCCGTGTGGGGGACCCCATGTGAGGTGACCCGATGTGACACTTGCCACAGCTGGTGCCCAAACAGGGACCCATAGACATGATCAAGGTCCCAGACACGGACAGCACACAGATGCTGAGACAGTCCACAAGCTGAATTCTCCAGATGCAGGGGCTGAGAACCAGCGGTGACTATACGTGTGAGCCTCTGCCCACCTTCTGCCCTGGCCTGCCTCCTGAGAACTTGCCAAACTTTTGAGAAGGAATTTAGACTTCCAAAGGATGAAGAATAGAAGTTTGAACCAATCTTATCTAGGGAGGCTCCCATTGACATCCAAATTATGTAATAAACATGGCCACTAGTGAAATACTACTACTATTACTACCACAAAAATAAGAAATTAAGTAGTTAGGTCAGGAATTTGGCCCGTTCCAACACTGAGACTGGAAAGATTACACAGTGTGCCTGAGGGACGCTCTGCTCTTGTTCTCAGGTTCTCTGGCTCCTATTCCTTGTGTCCTCAGTCCTTGCCTGTGAAGAGGGTGCAGTGAGCAGGGTAGCTCCTCACCCTCCTCCTCGGGTACCAGGTGCTCCTGGGCCCTCAAGGACTCAGCTCTTCCTTGAGCAGCTCCTGCAGGGGCTGTTGGTTTTATCAGTGGCTCATTCTGTCAAAGAGCTGAGCTCAGGGGTACATATTGGGGGAGTGAGGTTCCTACTACCTTGGAGACAGTTTTTTCCTAATAAGGGGAAGCATGTGAGAAATAAGTTCATTAGTAAGTTCATCATTGGTCATAAAAATATTTTATCTAATGGCAGAAGGCCTAAATCTTTGTTCCCATGAAAGATTTACTCCTCAAACCAGGATGAACTAAAGGTGGTGAGACATTGGGGCCGTCTGGGCAGCTGTGGAGAAAGAGTCTGTGGATCTGACCTACCGTTCTCCTCTTGTCCAGATAAGGATGTGTGTTTGTGTGTTGACTGGTGAGGACGGGAGGAGGTTTCCTGAGTGCAGAGTGCCAAAGTGCAAAGCCTGAGATAAAAAGTCATAAATAGACCTAGAGCCTGACCCAGAGCCAGGCCCAGTGTCCTTGGGCTGGTAAGGCTTGCAGGCCAGGTCCCAGTTGGGGAGGGGGGACTGGGGCTGAGCAGCTGCTGTGGAAATTTCCATGGGCTATCCACTAGCTCTTGGTAAGCTCTTGCACTCGGCATGGCATGGGCAGGACGTGGGTTATGAAAGAGGCACAAGACTGAGTCCAAGCTTATAAGACGCTAGGCCCCTAGAGAAAAGACTCTTGCCAAAGAAGCAAGTAAACAAACAGGTTGGAAAATCTTGAAACAAAATTGTAAATAAGGCCAAGGCATGGAACCAGTCAAGAAAAGTCAATATCACCTTCCAATTATTAGAACCTCATTTCACCTTCTCAGGAAAATGTTGAAAATATGAACTTTGCATTAAGGTAAAAGTGGATTTCATTATTTTAAATACTAATAAAGAGGTCACAAACAATAAGTTTTTTTTAAGAAAAATAGTTTTTTTACAGGAGTTTTAAAATGTTTTTTATATTGAGTAGCTATTTCATGTTTTCTTAAAACAATTATTGTACTGAACTAAAAATAAACTAGGTAGTTTGTTCACATAACAAATATACACTCAAAGACATGCTTACAAATTTTCCACTTGTCCATTTTTCTGTTCTCAGCATTACTTCAAATGCCTCATTCCGTCATCATGTTGAATTGTTCAGCATCTTTTATATCATTTCCAGGGCATCTCTGGGAGTAATGATGCCTATCTTCCCTCAGCACACTGATAACTCCAATATACCCACAATTCACACCTTTTCTCTTCTCTGATGTGTGCCACTTTTTGGCACAACAGAAAAAACACACTACTAGGATTTGAAAAACTAAATTCTGGGCGGGCTTAGGTCATATAGTACAGAAACCTTAGGTCATATATTCTTGTTTCTCCACTGTAAAAAATAATTCATATTTGCTTGGTCCTTTGTAGTCCTTTACTATTTCACTGATCTTTATGATAACCCTTAAATTTAAGTAAGGTAGCATTATGCTCATTTTAGAGAAGAAATTCAATCTCAAAGAGGATATAGTCTTCCAAAGATCCCACAAGTAGTAATATATTAGGCAGAGCTAAACTCACACACTCTCACTCAAGATCCTAGTACCAGTACATGCCATGCTAGTAAGTTTGCTGAAACAGATGAAGCAGTGATTTCTCAGGTCCCTTCCAATGATCCTGTTCTCTGCTTTTACTTGCTATTTTTCCTCTCCTCTCTCAACTAGTGTTAACATCCAAAACTATATGTAATCACCAAATTTCATTTACCATGGTTTTTTGATTTAATCTTAAAATTTTTCTATTTCCATGTTAAATCTAGAGAAATGTTACTTTTTCAAAAGTTTCTACTGCTGCCTGCCTCTCTGAAGGCCAATGGGACTTACCTATTTGTTTGTCAAAGGGAATGTTACAAATTCCCAACATTTTGTAAACACCACTAATTACTTTTTATAACTGTAAAGACAATTATTCCATACTTAAAGCCAATTCAAAATAAAATAAATCCTCAATACTTTTTATTCCCTGGAGTAGTAATTTTAGTTAGATTCTATTGATTTATTATTTTCTCCTGTGTGCCTTTATTTGAGAAACACTGTTAGTCTACTTTGCTATCAAGTCTCTTTCCCTAACAAGAAAATATCAGTCTTAAGAGTCAGGAAAGCTTTTACTTTCACTATCACATATGAAGAATGAACTAAACATCAAACTTGGAAAGTAAAACTTAAATGAGGGATTCAGGACATTTCCCAAGGGGTCATATGACCATTTAAAAGTGGGTTTGATGTGCCTAAAATAACAAATTAACTCTTTTATTTAAAGGTGCAGATGTGCTGATTAGTCATGCTGACATGTACGTATGAAATATGCCGAAACCAAATTAAAAGAAAACAAAATACATTCGATGGCAATCTTGAAAAGTCAGGGAGCTCAATAAATATTAATAGCATGCTCTCACAATGAGAGCATTAAACACTTGGTAAATTAACATAATTTAATAAAAATGAGAAAATATACAGGATGAGGGGTAAGGAGTACACAGAGGACATTTTTGTGCCTTTCTTCATTTTGATTGTATTGCTTTCTTGTCTTCAGGAGGGAAGATGTTGACTTCAAAAGTAACAAAGTATTTAAGAAGGGAATTCACATCTTTCTGTTCTAGATGGTATTCTTGCGCTGTTTTCTCAGCAGTCCATGTTTCTGGATAAAGCTTATGGTTATTGAGAAGTGTCAATTTTTCTACAATGGAAATTTTGCCTTTGGGAATGCTCTTAATATTTATCATATCAAAGTGATGGCCTTTCAGCAATCTGAATTCCTTTGGCTCTTGACATGTTTCAGCAGCTTTTACCTGCACAGAAGACACAGGATCTTTGGAATCAACATACATACCTTTTAGAAATGATAGTAGCTTGTCACCTTTACGGGCAATCTCTCCCTTAATTTCTGGATAGATGCTAATCTGCTCTCACAGGAGGCTGCTGGTAGAGGGGTGCCTGCAGCGGGAGAGGGCTTCATCTTGCTGATTTCCCGTTCTGCTCGGTTCTCTAGGTTGAAATTCCTGATCCCACAAGTCACCACAGCCCCCATCTCCTCATAACCTGATGCTGTCAGGTTCATGCCACATGTCAGAAAAAACTTTTTATAATTAATCACCACTTGCCAGAGTTTGAGATACTCTTAAGAATTCAGGTTAAACTTACAAATTGTTTTTAGTACAGAACAATGACAAATTATCCAAAGACATTAGTTCCATGTATTGGTAATTGTTACCAAAAGCCTTACAGTGTGAAATTTTGTAAAATCAATGTTGCAACTATCCCAGGAATTGGAGATTTGTTTTTTTCCTCTCTAGTAAGATTCAGGTCGTGTGTGTGTGTACAAGTGTGTGCACACGTGTGCATGTGCAATGTATGAACCCACAATGCTCACCATAATGCTGCACTCCCAATGCACTGGTTAAGATACCTTTGCTTGTAAGTAAAGAAGCCATGAAGAGGATATATTAGTTCACATGGCTGATATGTTAAATGTTAGGGCAGCCTTCTAGTAAGTTTCAATCAGGGCTCCCGCACCATTTCTCTCTAATTCTCTCTGCCCTGCCCTTTTGTGGCCAGATTCCTTTTCAGGCTGGCTCATTCATGGTGGCAAGATGTCTGTGAAGAGCAACTCAGCCAACAACAACTTTTCTAAGGAGAGAGGAGCTATTGTTTCCTACAGTCATTGCATAGAAGTCCTGAGCTTCCTTCTGATTGGACCATCCCAGGACCAGTCATTGAGGATGTGCCATGTGCTGGTTGGCTCAGGCTGAAAAACCTATCACTTTATCAAGTGAGTTGGGATTGACTTATACCAGGGGACATGATATGGTTTGGCTGTGTCCCCACCCAAATCTCATCTTGAGTTGTAGCTCCCATACTTCCCCACGTGGCATGGGAGGGAGCTGGTGGGAGGTAATTGAATCATGGGGTGGGTGGGGGAGCTTTCCCATGCTGTTCTTGTGATAGTGAATAATTCTCGTGAGATCTGATGGTTTTATAAAGGGGAGTTCCCATGCACAAGCTCTCTTGCCTGCCACCATGTAAGATGTGACTTTGCTCCTCATTCACCTTCTGCCACGATTGTGAGGCCTCCCAAGCCATGTGGAGCTGTGAATCAGCTAAACCTCTTTCCTTTATAAATTACCCAATCTCGGGTATGTCTTTAGTAGCAGCATGAGAACAGACTAATATAGTAAATTGGTACTGATAGTGGGGTGCTGCTGTAAAGATACCCAAAAATGTGGAAGTGACTTTGGAACTGGTTAACAGGCAGATGTTGGAACAGTTTGAAGGGCTTGAAACTTCCTAGAGACTTGTTGAATAGCTTTGACCAAAATGCTGATAGAGATATGGACAATAACATTGAGACTGAGGTGGTCATATCACTATCAGCCTCATCCAGGCTGAGACGGAGATGAGGAACTTGTTGGGAACTGGAGTAAAGGTCACTCCTGCTATGCTAAGAGGCTGGTGGCATTTTTTTTTTTTTTCTTCTTTGAGGCTGGTGGCATTTTGTCCTTGTCCTAGAGAGCTGTGGAACTTTGAACTTGAGAGAGATGATTTGGGGTATATCTGGCAGAAGAAATTTCTAAGTGGCAAAATATTCAGGAGAAAGCAGAGCATAAAGTTTGGAAAATGTGCATCTTGGCGATGCCATAGAAAAGAAAAACCCATTTTCTGGGGAGAAATTCAAGTCAGCTGCAGAAATTTTTAGTAACAAGGAGCCCAATGTTAATCACCAAGACAAAGGAGAAAATGTCTCCAGGGCATGTCAGAGGTCTTCACGGCAGCCCCTCCCATCACAGGCTTAGAGGCCTAGGAGGCCTTCTGCCATGATTTTGAGGCCTTCACAGCCATGTGGAACTGTGAGTCCATTAAACCTCTTTCCTTTATAAATTACCTAGTCTCGGTTAGCAGCGTGAGAACAGACTGATATAGGGCACCAACCCTGGAGCTGGGTGAGACCAGTGCCACTCAAATTGATGGTGGCTACACAGTGGGGAGGAGAAGGGTGATAGACATTCCAACGTCTACCACACCTTGGTAACAATTTAAACATTTTTTTTTTTTTGCTTTGAAGGGTACTTTCTAGGTATAAGGCACTATAAGAGATATAACGATACACAGCTGACAATCTATTAGGTACAAAAAGACAAGCTGACAAATAACTACAATACATTATTAGGTGTAATGTAAAAATGACACATATAAATGCAAAAACAAAGTACATGGCAAATGTAAAGGAGAGAGACAGATTGTTTCTGACTGAGGTGATCAGAGAGGTGTCGCATAGCAAATAACGCGGGAATTAGGTCTTAAAGAGTGAGTGGGATTTTAATGATTATGGAGAAGGAGGGGCATGGGAGGTGGGGAGCTTTAAGAGTAAAGACCCAGAGGCAGAAAGCCAAGGGGGAGTTGGAGAAAGGGCCCAGGTAAGTTGGAGCACAAGTTCTAGAAGTTGCTGCTAAGGCAAGAAATGTTTCCCCAATACAAAGAAATCTCAGAGTTCAGATAATACCTAAGGAGCTAGGATAATAAAGTCAGGGAACAAGGTGACAATGTCTTTATTTTCTCCCATAAAGAAACCTGGCTCAAGCCTCCATTCACCTGATTAGTAGAAAATTTGGTATCTCCTCCATGGGGCTCCCCGACTCCTTAATTGTGTTCAACCCAATGCTTTACATATTCCTGACTTTCACATGCAGGCAGAGGCCACTGGTCTCTAGTCAGTCCAGTAGCCAACACCCATTCCCAGGGCTCTGTGGCTCCTCAGGGAGGACAGTCCTACTCATGTCACTTTGAACTTGGTCATGAGTGTTCCTTCCCAGGGTCCAGGGCCATGATCTCAGAGCTCTGCTCTTCAGTTAAATTCACAGCTTCCCTACCTGCCAAGTCACTCACTGTCCCAAGGACTTTGGATGAGAAATAGCTTGGGATACCCACGTGGATGCAGAATTCCTTTATTTATTTATTTATTACTTTGAGACAGAGTCTCACTCTGAGGGAGCACAGTGGTGCAATCCCAGCTCACTGTAACCTCTGCCTCCCAGGTTCAAGTGATTCTCCTGCCTCAGCCCCCTGAGTACCTGGGACTACAGGCGCCTGCCACCATGCCTGGCTGATTTTTGTATTTTTAGTAGAGATGGGGTTTCACCATGTTGGCCAAGCTGGTCTTGAACTCCTGACCTCAGGTGATCCTCACTCCCAAAGTGCTGGGATTACAGATGTAAGTCACCACAACCAGCCCTGGATGCAGAATTCCTATCCTCTGTTCTTCTCTGGGATCCAACTGCACCAGAAGGCAGGGAGATTTTTCTTGTTGTCTGTCCCTCAACCCCCACCATGGGCTTCCCCCTTGTGTACCCTTCCCTTGCCACACTCCCCGGGGTTCGTGGGGGTGGAGGCACCTATCTGAAATACCTTACCATGACCAGGAACACTGACATCTCTCTCACTGGTGAGGAAAAGAGGAAAGAAAATAAAACCCAAAGTTCAGACACCACTGGGACTTTCTGTTCTCAGATTTTTAGGTCCACGCCTCTTAGTTTCTTCCAGGATTGCTTATTTCATCCAAGGGAGCTAGACCCTCCTGTGCTCTTTTATTAAAAGTTCATCATCATGCCCGGCTAATTTTTGTATTTTTAGTAGAGACAGGGTGGGGTGGCAGAGGGAGGAGAATCACTTGAACCCCGGGCGGCAGAGATTGCAGTGAGCCGAGATCATGCCAGTGCACTCCAGTCTGGGCAACAGAGCAAGACTCTGTCTCAAAAAAAAAAAAAAAAGGAAAAAATTTTCATATTGGCCAAGTGCAGTGGCTCACGCCTGTAATCCCAGCACTCTGGTAGGCCAAGGCAGACAGATCACGAGGTCGAGTTTGAAGCCAGCCTGAACAACATGGAAAAACCCCGTCTCTACTAAAAATACAAAGTTAGCCAGGCATGTTGGTGCATGCCTGTAATCCCAACTACTCAGGAGGCTGAGGCAGGAGAATTGCTTGAACCTGGGAGGTGAAGGTTGCAGCAAGCTGAGATTGTGCCATTGCACTCCAGCCTGGGCAACAAGATTGAAACTCCATCTCAAAAAAAAAACCAAAAAAACTACAAAAGTTCATATTAACATTTAACCTTCTTGTTCATTGGCAAAATCTGGTCCTTGGTTCATCCTCACCTTGAAGTTGAAATTCTTTTACTTGCAGCCACTTAGACCCTGCCTTGACGGCATTTCCTGCCCACAGCAGGCTCTGAACTGAGCCTCACGTTCTGTTTTGGACATGTGGTGACTCTCGTTTCTAAATTCCCCTTCACAATTGCACTCTCTTCACCCTGCTTCTGTATACTCACAAGGAAGTGGGCAACAATTTGTCAGAGTTAGGCTTGGCTCATGGTTTGCAGCTTCTTGCCTGTTTGCTGCTTCTCTAGTTTGTAAACTTGAGGCCCAAATATGGAAGTTACTCCAAACCTTATGTGAATTAAAAACAAGTATCAAGTGACTGTCTGAGGGAGAACAAAGTCAAATACATATTCAGCAATAGGATAGCTTTCCCCCCACACTAGAACATTTAAGAACAGGAGAATGAACTATACACATATATATATATATATATATATATATTTATTTTTTTTTTTTTTGTGAGTCAATCTCACTCACTCTGTCACCCAGGCTGGAGTGCTGTGGTGTGATCTTAGCTCACTGCAATCTCTGCCTCTTGGACTCAAGTGATTCTCCTGCCTCAGCCTCCCGAGTAGCTGGGACTACAGGTGTGCACCAGGCTGATTTTTTTGTATTTTTAGTAGAGATGGGGTTTCGCCTTGTTGGCCAGGCTGGTCTCGAACTCCTGACCTCAGGTGATCTGCCCACCTCAGCCTCCCAAAGTGCTAGATTACAGGCATGAGCCATGGCGCCAGGCCTATATGCTTTTTTTCAATTCAGTGGTTACTTCCTAATTTATGTTGTTTAAGCAGCTATTTTCCCTTAATGGAATCAACCTAGAATAGTTGCCTGTGGAGAGGGAGCTAGGGGGCAGTGATTGGAAAGAGACATGAAGGAACTTTTTGGAGGGATAAAATTGTTCT